AAGGAGTCAAAAGTTACTTGGAAGGTGCATTCTCATTCTTTTTGTAGATAAAAAAGGATAACAAATGATGCTCTAGTTGAGACATCAACATATTATATTGGATTCAAAAATTGTCCAATCCACATGTGAAGCATAGGCTACAAACATGTGGGACAACCAACAACTATGGAAGTTTACCAAAGAAGAAGGAACAAACACATTCCATAACTCACAAATGACAAAAATATAATTTTTGCAACATAAATGACAAATGGCTCAACATGTGTGATAAAGTACTAGTCTAATATTTCTTTTACTTGGTTTAGGTACACTTATTCTTTAATGACATGTTGGTCTGCCTAAGTATTATAAATACCTCTCTAGTTGTAAAGACTTATGATGGAATGAATAATTTCTAATTTCTCCTTCTCTAGTATCTCTTCTTCCCCTTCCTTTCCTTATTTTTTCCTTAAGAAGTCCACACCTACTTAAAAGGTGCATTCCCCTTCTTGATGTAAATCAATGAGCGTCATTATTCGCAAAATAGAATGATAGACTTGGCAACATGCATGTAAGTCCCTTTTGATCATCAAATAGTTGTCAAAGATGGGAACGAACAACATAAGTGAAAGTTTTGACTAGGTACTAAGGGAAGAATATATGAGATTTAAGTCTTTGAGCTGGTTTACTTCTTGATCTCGAAGAGCATTGGAGTAATGAGAGAAATAAAAGAAGAAGAATAAAAGGAGCAACACAGATTTAAAGCCTTTTCACACTCTAACCTACATCTGAGGAGGGGTTGCAGTATTTTGGACAATATAAAGCTTACTATAAGTATTTTTCAAGCTCTCACTCTCTTTGGCTTCATGAAATCATAATTCCCAAGTTCAATCTTAATAGGGTAGGATCCTTTAAAAGGATGGGGATGTAGCATTTATAAATATCCCAACTTGAATATCGATGTGTAGATCACATGAAGAATGAATTTGCCAACTATAAAAAAGATTGTTCAGGGATGCTACATATATCTGGCAATGGTGGTCAAAAGGAGCGTTGTCTAGCGACATAGGTTAGAAGGTTCATAGTCGGCAAGCAACATTGGTCAAAAAGATCGTTGTCTGTAGATAAAGGTCGGAAGGATCGTAGTTGGCTGGCAACAACAGTCAAAAAGACTGTTGTCTGACGACGGAGATCGGAATGACCATATTCAACATGCGACACTAGTAAAAAAGATCGTTGTTTTCCAACTGAGGTTGGAATGATCGTAGTCGGCGGGCGACAGTGGTCAGAAAGACTGTTGTATGGTGATAAAGGCCGGAAGGACTATAGTCGATGCGTGATGAAGATCAAAAAGACCATAGTCTGGCAACATACGTTAGAAGGATCATTGTCTGGCGATGGAGATTGAAAGGCCCATAATCGGCTGGTGACGAAGGCGGAAGGTCTGTGATGAAGGTCGTAAGGACTATAGTCGGCAGGCGAAAATAATCACAAAGACCGTTCTCTGGCGATAGAGGTCATAAGGACATTAATTGGCATGTGATGAAGGTTAGAAAGACCATTGTCTGGTAAAAGAGGTCAATAAGACCAAAGTCGATCGGTGGGCTGGTGTGGAAGTCTGGCATTAGTCGGTGGCTAGGAAAAATTCCAGTATTAGTTGGTTGCTGGGTAGAAGTCTGGTGCGCAACAACTCAAACTTTTAACTATCAAGATATTGTCCATTTTGGCCCAAGAGCCTCACAATTTTGTCATGTTGGTGTAACTTCCCAGTAAGCCGCTTCGCAGAATTACTCCGGGATGAGCACACTTAGTTGCGAAATTTTTTTTTTAATGAAATTTCAGCCATTGCACCAAAAGAAGTTTCAATGTTTAAGAATTTATCTTCTTTTACTTAAGGAATTTCACATGGCGTTAGTCGGAGGCCGAGCGAAAGCACGAAGATAATCTGACGATGGTCAGTGGTGCAACGATGGTCGAGGAGAAGTCTGGTGACAAGAGAATTCTAGTTTCTCTCTTTTCCTTCTCTTCCTTTCTTGGGGTCCCCCTTCCATGAGAAATGAGATGTCTATTTATAGCTTTCTGAGATTGACATTGTCAGTAAATAGGAGGGAAATAAAGGGTAAGTTGGGAGTGATTTGAATGGACGGCTGATGTTGATCCCCTTAATCGTGGACCATTTATTGAGCATTTGATTGTCTTAATGATATCAGAATTTAACGATCTTGGGTTCGTTGGATTTTTCTCGTCGAGACGCTCGATTCGAATATAAGCATGTCATGTTTGAAAACCATTTGGTCATCCAATTTATAGTTTGAACCTTCTAAATGCATTTCGGGTCTTCGATTTGGTCCCATTTGGGCTCATATTGAGTCAAATTTGGTGTCATTTGGTTCGCCTTTCTGAGACTTTCAGTTCGACTATAAGTTTGTTGAAATTGAAGTTCATATGATTCTGAATTTATTTTGAAAGTTTTTGACTCAATTTTGACCCGAGCTTTGTGCCCGATCAAGATAACTTTTTTTTGATATACCCGTGCTAATCAAATAAATTTTAGAAGTTGAGGAAGAAGGATAAATATTGAAGTGCAATAACGTAACAATGAAAGTTTTTATCCAAACGATATCTCTTTTTATATTGCAAAAAATATACTGAAGATCAAACATAGGTAGCTGTTACATCATCTCTTAGCTTGCTGAGAAAATTAATACTTAATCTAATTAATTATAAATACTATAATAAGATGAATAAAGTTGATTGTTTGCTATATTTTACACTATCAAAATAACTAGCTAAATGTAAAACGAATACTGATGAGGAATATTCTTATTATGACTTTCTATTTGATTATACTACGGCGTCAATTAGTTAAGGAACATTATAAATTTTACATGTCTGCAGCTGTGGAATATTAAGTTTTGTTTGGGACAACTTATTATTTTCTGAAGCCTCTTTCTAATACAAAAATCTTTTGAAAGCGGTGAAACAATAATGACAAAAAACTATTCCAAATATAATCTTAGTTAGATAAGTCATAATGCACAATTTAAATATTTTAGTTGTGACTTAAAATTTATTAGATTTATTTTGATATTAGTTCAATACAAGTTCTTAGATGCAGCACAAATCTGAAATCAAATATAATAAAATTCATTTCCATCATAATATAATTTAATCAAAATATTATGACATTTTTTTCTTTTTTGTTAAAGGTTTCTCTTCGGAAAGCTGCAACTTTTAATAAAAATGATTGTAAATTTATTGTGGAAAAAATAACTTTTTTGAAATTTGTAGTAGAAAAAACTCCCTAACAAAAAAAAATTAATGGAAACTGTAAAAATCAGTAGCCAAATAAAAATTATAATTACGTTTTAAAAAGTAAGCAATAAGAAAGCTATATGAAATGTAGCCAAGCCTCCCATAGGTAATAAGAAACTATGATAGATACAGTTAAAACCAACTCCAATATACATCGATCTATTATTGAGGTGGTTTAAACTAATTACTGAACTCAACATAATTTTAGAAACAGGAACCGGTCCAAATGAGTCATAAATAAACAACTTAACCATCATTAAACAAATATGTTATCTTGCTTGTAACGAATTCATTATTCTAAAACAATTGAACAAGTTTATAATATAATTGAAGGAGTGACTCAGGTTGAAATTAATTAATTTATTTGTTAAGTTAAATAAAATAAATTTATTTAATTATCAAAATAATTTAAATATAGTGAGTCCTTAATGAAAAAAGTATTGAATTACTCTGAATTTGGTTTACTGCACTTGACCGTTCTCAGCCCTGGTGGACGAACTTTTATTTGGTCCGGTCACAGGACGTATATATATATATATATATATATATATATATATATATATACCTCTTTGTATTTTTATCACAAAACTATTTTTGAAGCAAAGGACGAACGAATCTTGATTTAAGAAGAGATTGTAGTAGAACTTTGTTTTTTTTAAAGAAAAGTCGTGCATGTGAGACCCATACGTGTGGAGTTTATTGATTAGTCAAAAATTGTACTAATTACAGAATTAGATGATGCCCAACTTGAACTAACTTTGGTATTGCCGTTGTAGCGTAATAATTAGAGGATGTCATGCATCAATTTGAAATACTTTGGAAGTATTTAAAAGAACTTGTCCAAGTTCACAAAGAACACTATGTGCAACGTTCACATACTGAAGTCAGGGGTGTCAATTTCGGGTCATGGGTCGAATTCAGGTCGAATTCGAAATTGACCCGACACTATTCAGGTCAACCCGAACTGACCCCTTTTTTGCAAACTGGTTGATTTTTTTGGACCGAAACCGACCAGCTTCGCGTCCAGATCAACCCAACACGACCCGAATGACACGGGATCGACCAAAAATTGATGGGTTTCGAGTAAAAAAATGGGTCAATCTCCTATTTTTGGGAAAAAAACGGTTCAATCTCGAGTTTCTAGGTCAAAACGGGTCAAAATGGGCCAATTTCGGGTTACTGTGTCAACCCAAACCCGTCCCAATTTTTGAAACGGGTCGATTTGCTGAACTCGAACTCGACCCGTTTCAGGTACGGGTTGACCCTAACCTGAAATTTTCGATTCGAATTCGAATCAAATTTTCGAATCACGTCAAATATTGACACCCCTAAGTGAAGCGCTCCTCACGCTTAGGTTGACAATAATTACTCGTGTCCTTGTATATTTTTCTTGGCCAATAAAATATTGAAAGCGTCAACACTATGTAGCATGTATGGTAAAAGGAATGAATGATTTGTCACTGTGGTTGTGTGCCATCTGTCAATTCAAAATAATTTGGGAATGGAATATTATAATATATAGAAATAATTTCCCTATGAATCATGGGCGGATTTCAATTAAGTTGTATTGGGATTCCAATTTTAATGGTGATTTGTGCTTATTCTCCTGTAAATTCATGAAAAATTTAAGACTTCTTCCATCCGTTTCTCATGCGCAATTCTATAAATACAGTGCGATTCTGTGAGATAGACGCGTGTGTAACGGACTCTGTTCTTCTATATATAAAAGCTCCCCCACCTCTCCTCTCGCCGAGCGGCCTCATTCCTCTGTCTCCAACAGCATTTCCTCTAGCCATAGAGAAGATTAAGAATAGAGTTGCAAATGGAAACTTCTTGCAGTTTAATAATAATCACGTCCCTCGCCCTTGCCCTTTTCTCCTGTCTCCGTATTACGAAACATGGCAAGCAAATGAGGAAGCTGCGCCTGCCACCAGGCTCCATGGGCTTGCCCTACATCGGCGAGACGTTCCAGCTTTACTCACAGGACCCAAATGTCTTCTTCGCTTCCAGGCTTAAAAAGTATGATCTTTAACCCGTCAATTCTTTACTTTCTCTAAAATATAATCATCCATTGAATTCATGCGATGGAATTGATCGATCAGGTATGGTGAGATCTTTAAGACGCATGTGCTAGGTTACCCGTGCGTGATGCTGGCAAGCCCAGAAGCGGCGAGGATGGTGTTGGTGAGCGAGGCTCATCTCTTCAAGCCCACCTACCCACGGAGCAAGGAGCAGATGATCGGCCCTTGGGCGCTCTTCTTCCATCAGGATGATTACCATGCCCGCATACGGAAGCTAGTGCAGGCCTCGCTCTCGCCGGAGTCGCTCCGCCGTCTTGTCCATCAAATTGAAGGCACCGCAGCTGCCATTCTCCGCTCCTGGGATGGCAATGTCCTCAGCACCTTCAAAGTTATGAAGAAGGTTGGTTACTCAGTGGCGGAACAAATTATTTTTTGGGTATATAAATTAATTTTTTTAACACTAATTAATTAATAGGAATATGATCATAGATACTTATTATAATAGAGACATTGAAAATTTAGAGCAAGTTGTAAATGTCTCTCCTAAATCCACATTTGTTCTTATAAATGAAAAATAAAATAAGGACCTGTTGCAGAATCGGCTTGAAATTCTCAGCTTTATTTTAATATTAATGATATATATATAAAAAAATTGTATGAAGATATTTGACAGTTTTTCAAGAAAATTAGTCACCGCACACTTTTCTTTCAAAGACCGAAAAACTGCGGCTCTCCTTAATTAGAGGAAATTGTATAGAAAATGAAAGGGAAACGGTTAGGGAATTAAATTAAATTAAATTTTCATCTTTTTTATTAACGAAAAATTACGTGAAAATGTTTTTTTATTTATTATTTGTTAAAAAAACTTTAAATTTATATATTTTTTTTGGGACTGAGTCATTTACGTCATAATAAATTTTTATAAATTTTTTACATAAGAAATTAATTAATGAAAAATATAGATTCAATTACCACTGTATGATATTGTTGAAGCCAAACACCCACAATATAATTCAAAAACACAGCCTATAGGAGCATGCATATTATGCATCAGTTTATTTTATAATGATATAAATAATAAATAAATAAATTTAAAACATACCAACCTTGGGGATAAGAGGTTTTAGCGCATCCTGGGACAAAATAATTGGAACGTCTCTTCATGAATGAGCTGTAATTTTATTCCAATATTTATATTTTTGCAGTAAAAATGATGATTCAAATCATGACAGCTGCCGATAACAGTACGAAGTTAGTGTCAATTCATGTCATGCGCTTTGTCCTTTTGCAGCTCTCCTTCGACGTCGGCATCCTCGTCATCTTCGGCAGCCATTTGAGCGAGCAACGCAAGAAAGCGCTGGAAAAAAATTACTTCATCGTTGACAAGGGATACAATTCTTTCCCCACCAACTTTCCCGGAACTCTGTTCAGCAACGCCATTAAGGTTCTTGTCATCTTCTTTTACTAATATGCTGGTAGCTAGGACGATTATTTGATCTAAATTAACTAGCTGTTAATTACAGGCGAGGAAGAGGCTTCGGGGGATACTTAACGAGATCATGAAGGAGAGGAGAGAGAAAGAAGCAGCGGTGGAGAAGGATCTATTGTCATGTTTTGTAGAGTGGAGAGATGAGAAAGGAGAACAATTGAGTGATGAACAGATCTCCGACAACATTATCGGCGTACTCTTCGCGGCGCAGGACACAACGGCCAGCGTTCTTACGTGGATCGTCAAGTATCTCAACGACGACCCAAAACTTCTCATGGAAGTAAAGGTATAGCCAGTCATCAAGGCATTAATTAGATGAAACCCTAGTTTTTAATTAGTTTGGTGCAGGACGAGCTGTTCATCTGAGTTCTGAAATTGTACGTGCTGTCGATCACCTTGCAGGCCGAACAGATGGCAATTTATGAGTCGAATGGATGTGGAAGACAGCCATTGACGTGGGCCCAAACCAGGAGCATGCCTCTCACTCATAGGGTAAGTGATAAATTGTCCTATTCATTAAGCAAAGGCTTAGTGTTTTTTTTTTTTTACTTCAGCGTTTATGATCTCAACATGCATATCAGATCTCCCAACGAACAACTTAAGATGGGCTGCAATCATATATATTAAGATGAATTATTTTGTGGGGACACTAAATATCATTCAGAGTCCAATAAAAATGCGACACATCACTCCCTACTCGGTACCGCTGCTCGGTACTACTAGGTACCGAGCTCGGTACTGCTCAGTACTGGATGACGTAGTTGCACCTGATTTGTCTCTGTACGGTAAGTTGTATCCGGTGTATGCACAGAATAATCTCACAAATTAATATAAAAATAAGAATCAATGATGAAGATGAAAAGAAAAGGAAATGAAAATGAAAATTATAGAAGAATTGAATTGAAATAGTTTTTCGCATTTGTTTGATTGAATATGTTTCCTCTTTTACTTCCTTAAAATAAACGGAGCCAAAACAGAAACACTGATTAACTTTTGTTCTGTTATACGTGTGTGCGCATTTGTGTGCTCTTTAATGGACCAAGGAAAGTGATGTATCACGATTATCTACTTTCCTGTTGTCTAGGTTATAATGGAGAGCTTAAGGATGGCAAGCATCATCTCTTTCACATTTAGGGAGGCTGTGGCTGATGTGGAGTATAAAGGTAATTTAAAACGATCAGCTCCTAAAAATAAGGGCATGGCTGATCGCATGCTTACACTTACACGTTTATCAACCTATTTTGGTAGATAAAGATTTCAACTTAGGCTTCGTTCGGGACGGTTTTCTTACTGCTTCTTAAAGCAGCATTTAAATATTAAAAAGATGCTTTAAAAGCAGTAATAAAGTTGTCCCAAACGAAGTCTTAGGGTTCGTTTGGAACGGCTTTCTTGCTGCTTCTTAAAGCAACTTTCTAATACAAAAATTAAAAACTTTTAACTAGAAAGTTGTTTTAAGAAGCAATAAGAAAGCCGTCCCAAACGAAGCCTTAGTCTTACTAAATTAAGTGACAGCCAAATTGTTTACTCATCTAAATTTGAATAGCCCAATGCAATGCAAGATTGATTATAACTATTCCTATTTATTATATGTTGACTTCTTGTTGAAAATTTAGATGAGTAAGGCCTTAGTTACATTTTATGTTAATATTCTCTTGTTTAACATTCAACGAATTATGACAAATTTGGAGGGGATGCAGGGTATCTTATCCCCAAGGGATGGAAGGTGATGCCTTTATTCAGGAATATCCATCACAATTCGGAATTTTACTCAGACCCGGAGAAATTTGATTCTTCTAGATTTGAGGTAATACGCCTTAAGCTTTGTTTATCACATCAAAATCTATATTAAACTGTTTCATTTATGGCGAAATACTAATAAGCCTTAAGAAATTTTTACTCAACACAGGTCTCACCTAAGCCCAACACCTTCATGCCCTTCGGAAATGGCGTTCACTCTTGCCCTGGGAACGAGATCGCCAAGCTTGAGATGTTTTCCTTTATCCACCATTTGGTGACTCAATACAGGTTAGCTTTAAACTGGAAATATAACGGCACAATTTCATGCACTTGCATCAATGCTTTGGATTTGTTTTCAATTTCAAGAGCTGAAGATCTTAATTCATATTCGAACTCAATAAATCATTTTAAATTAAGCTAAAGCCAACTGGCCAGGAGTCATTATTGCTCGGGTATGAAAGATTAATCTACAATACAACAGCACATGTGTAAGACTTAGCTTTGTTTGAGATGACTTTCTTACTGCTTCATAAAGCAACTTTTAGTACAAAAATTAAATTTTTTATACTATAAAGTTGCTTTAAGAAACATAAAGAAAGTCGAGCTTCATTTGGAATATAAAATTTTTTTATTAAAAAAAAATTGTACTAAAAATTGTCTTAAAAAATTGTTAAGAAACTATTCCAAATAAAATCTTAGAGAAAGACTTTCAAGCTTTAAGGCCTTCTCCAACTGAACTCCAAACACATGAATGACGTTGCTAACAAGCTCGAGTGGAATGGCAAAACTTCCGGTATTTGGTTTGGGGTGAACAGTGCGACGTCAATATTGATGTTGTAATGTTCACCTGCGTTACTTTTCTGTATTAACCGGATTTGCTGAAGAAACACGCGCGAAAGATGAGAAAGACGGTTATCTTCTGCGAATGACGCAAAATGGAGTTTGATTAGAGATGAGTCACGCCATTGTTTAGTTTCACTCTATTTTAGAGTGAAAAATGAAATTTTCGGTTGGCGATGCCCTAAATGGCTAGTGAAACGACAATAAGTAGGGATTTGGCAAAATACTTAATGCTGTGATTTTTTGTTGCTGTTTTTTAGTCGTTGCTAAAGATATAGAGTTGGGTTATTTCTGGTGCAGATTCGAGGTGGTTGGGTCTCGCAATTCGGTGGAGTATAGTCCATTCCCTGTTCCCAAGCACGGTCTCCCCGTCCGACTTTGGCGTGCAGAGCACATCAGAGATAGTGCGGGCCAGTGACAAGCAGGTCCTTGAAGAGATGTCGAGACGCACTGTGTGCAACAAAACCTGGCATATTTGCGTTCGTCTCGCTATTTTTACTTCAACGACGCCAAAATAATTTCTGCGTATCCATCTCTAAGAGTGGCTCGCAACCTCGTCGTTACTCTATTTTGTTTTTGTTTTTGATTCCTCTTAATTACAGCAATTAAAGATTCCCCAGTCTTCTTCAATGTTTTATGCAACGTTTTCTCATAGTACAAATATTATTTGGTCCCAAATGTGGAATGCCAAATTGCAAATAAACGACAGTATTTTACCCATCATTTGTGGTATTCTTTCATTTTAGCTCTACTAGTTCAAATTCAGATCTCTGATTGCAAACCCACCAAAGTTAGAACTGGACGAACTCATTAATTCGAACAGTCAAAATTAAAGTGATTAATAGAATTTAGGATAGTTTCATTTGCAATAATTCATTTATTTGATAATGGGGGGCCATATATTCCCATTCCTTAAACTAATGCCGATGGATTGTATGAGAAGGTTTTCATAATTTTCAATTTATTTGATTATATATTTATAAATTGAGCATTACTATGGAATACTCTAGAAAAAAACATTTAATACTTTATAGAACATTTGGCTAACAAACTTCGTCAAACTATGACGATGCGCCGATATAAACATAGGAACATAAATATAATATGATACGGATACACCATACATCTATTATTAAAATATATGGCATAGGCTAATATAATATTATAATATTATATCTTAATAATTTTAAAAATATGTGATAATTGTATAAATCATATAATAATAAATTTATTTCAATTTCTAATAAAACAAGAAGTTTGTTTAAATTTATGTATGATCTAAAACTTAATTAAAGAATAAATAATTACACGATATTATAATTTGTTATCTTAATAAAATTCATCTTGCGTCTTCTCTTAAGTGGGTGATCAATCAAGTCGGGCCAGGAGTTTTGGGTTAGGGCAAGTGCCCTTTCAGGATATACAACTGGTGAATATCCCGTTCCATAAAAAAAAGAATACTATGGCATAAATGAAATTTCTTAAAACTATTATGATTATTATTATTTGTCTAAGAATTGGATATCAGCTTTTTAAAATTACTTTTCAAATAAGAATTATAATTTTATTTGGGTAATAATTTCTTGTTTAATTTTTAATAGTTTCATAAATTTATGTGATGAAAAGTTATTTTTTTGCTAATCATAATACAGAAATTTTTCTCTATGTACATCGTCAAAAATTATCCTTGATCAGGCCAATCTCGAAGGAAAATATAAGTTGGAAACTTCAAAATTAAAATTGGAACCATCTGACTCCACATTTCACAAACTTATAGTCGAACTGAACGTCTCAGAAATACAAACCCAACGATCACCAATTTGACTCAATCTGAGCCCAATGGTCCAATCAAAGGTTTAGAAAGCACTTGGAGGATTCGAACCAAATTTTGATTACCAACGATTTCTCAAACATGACGTGCTTATAGTTGAATCGAGTGCTCGATGAGACGAATCCAAACGAGAGACCAAGATCACTGAATTCTTACAGCACTAATTCAAATATTCATCAAATGGTCTACGATCAAGGGATTCAACATCTGACGTCCATCCAAGCCACTCCCCATATGCCCTTGATCCACACTTATTTATGGGTCATGCCACTCCCAGGAAACTAAAATAATCCTCCCTCCCTCTTGAAAGAGAGTCTCTAAGCAAGGAGCAAGAGAAAGATCGAAGATTGCTCTTGCCTTACTCCTCCTCGACACCCGTCTGAGTTCTGTCCGGACTACACCACATGAGGCTGGACTTACGGACCACCTGAGGCAGACTCTGCCAGACACCACTGATGCCCAAGTTCTACAAGTACCGCTTATACTAATGGTTTTATGATCTCCAATCTTGGCCAACCACGATCTTTTTGACCCATTTCTTACTGCCGACTTGGTCATTCCAACCTCATTGACTAATACGATCCTTCGAGCTCACATCGTCATACAGGGTTTTCTAATCTCAATCTCCTCCATACTACGGTCCTTACCGACCTACATCACCATACAATGTCTTTGCCCCCCGGTCTCTGCTACTAAGTCTTTCCACCTCTATCCTATCAACTATGGTCTCCGACCAAGCAACATGTATATGTTAATTATTGTAACTCCCACCATGTAATGTGCTCTATATGGTGTACATTTGTAACATCCAAGACATACTCTCTAATAAGGGCCTCATTTGTAATCAACTGTAAATACTAGTATTCATTCAATTGGGCGGGTCCCTGTGGCTTTATCCCCCTTTTTCAGGGGTTTCCACATAAAAATTCTAGATCTCTCTTATGAAAGCTACACCCTCTCTTATCTGCTTGTGTGATGGTATCTTCGTACAACGCTAAGGATTTAAGCTTTATATTTCTCACCGCCGTCGAATACTCAGAACAATAATAGTGACTTCACAACAACTTTATAATATATTGATATATATCATATATATTGAATAAAATATCACACATGATTTGCAAAAAAATGAATAGAATAGAGGTCAGTTTGGGATGGTTGCAACTTTTAATAAGTTGATTGTGACGTTGTGTGAGGAAAAACAACTTCCCTTCTTGATATCCAAAGAATACTT